AAGGACCCATACAATCTTTCCAAATTTGACAGGGATTCACCTGTACGTCCTCTAACCTGGTCTACTGTTTCTGTTGCCCCCGATGTGGTCTCCTCCACATTGGTGAGGCCAAGCACAGATGCAGTCATCGATTTGCGGAGTATCTGCGCTCTGTACGCCATGATCAGCAGCACCTCCCGCTCCCTTGGTGACATGTTCATTCTGGGCCTCCTCCAGTGTCACAATAATGCCACATGTATACAGGAGGAACAACACCTCATATTCCGCCTCGGACCTTACGTAGAATTCACCAGTTTCAAAATCTCCCCACCCCTGGTCTCGTCCCTCGTCCAACCCTCCCTCTCATCCCCACCTCCTTGACCTGACACAACCTGTCCATCTTCTTTCTCACCTATCCACCCCACCCTTCCCATGACCTATCTCCACAACCTCCCTACCTGCATCCACCTATGACCATCTTCTATCTTCTCCCAGCCCCACCGCCCCATCCCTCTATTTATTTCAGAGTTCCCTTCCCCCACCCCAGTCCCAATGAACCTGAAACGTCTACTCTCCTGCTCTGATGCTGCCTGACCTGCTGTGTTCCTCCAGCTCTACACTGTATTGACTCCAAGTCCTCTTGGAAGCTTGTACAATTCAATAAGAGTTTCTGTCAATGGGAACAGGGGTAGGCCATTCAATGAGATCATGGTTGATCTTTGACCTAACTCCATATACCTGCAACAGAAACAGATATTGCTGGAGAAACCCAGCAGGTCTGGCAGCATCAATGGGAAAGGAACGTGGGTTAATGTTTTGAATCTGATGAAGAGTCACTGTCAAGAGCTCAACAACTCTTTTTGTTTCAGAGCTCCAGCATTCGCAGTCATAGTCATATAACACAGAAACAGAATCTTCGGTCCAACCAGTCCATGCCGACCATGATCCCAAACTAAACTAGTCCTGCCTGCCTGCACGTCGCCCACACCTCTCCAAACATTTCGTATTCATGTACTTATCTAAATGTCTTTTAAACATTGTAATTGTACCGACATCCACCATTTTCTCTGGAAGTTCATCCCACACGTGAACCACTATCTATATAAAAAAAACTGCCCCCATGCCTTTTTTGAAATCTTTCTCCTCTCACCTTAAAGATATGCCCCCTTGTCTTGAAATCCTACACCCTAGGGAAACAACACATCTCATTCACCTTATTTGTACCCCTCATGATTTTATATACCTCTAAGGTCACCACTTAACCTCCTTATCTCCAGTGAAAAAAATCCCATCCTATCTAGCGTCTCCTTGTAACTCAAACACTCCATTCCCAGCAACATTCTGGTGAATCTCTTCTGAACCCCCTCCAGCTTAATAACATCCTTCATTAATAGGGAGACTCAAACTGCACACAGTACTCCAGAAGAGGCCTCACCAATGTCCTGCATAATGTCAAAATGACATCCCAACTCCTATACTCAAAGGTCTGAGCAATGAAGGCAAGCATACGAAATGTCTTCTTAACCATCATATCTATATGAAATGTAAACTTAAAAGAATTATACCTGAACCCCTAGTTGCTCCATTCTACAACACCACCCAAGTTCATGGTTTCATTTTATTGTCCATTATACAGCCCTTATCCCTGAATAACTTTTAAAGAGAAAGAGAACAGAGACATGATTTGTAGAGATGGAAGGAATCTGAAATCAACTAATAACTAACCCTCACTCTCTAAAACTGCACTGACAACTGATCGTAATACAAGTAACAAATTCTATATACTCCCATGAGCTACCATTTGGTGGACTCTCTCTTACATCCAAAAACAGGGAATATCCTGATCTTCAGAGCACCTGGTGCCCTCCAAAGGAAGGATGTGCAACAGCTCCAAACCAGAGAACGTTGCTGAATTCTAGAACAGGATTCTCTTACCGTTTATCCGAAAAAGTCAAAGACGTCGAAATATCTCATCCAAGACTGAGTAGGACAAGAGGGCATAGCCTCAAGATTAGAGGGAGCAGATTTAGGACTGAACTGAGAAGGAATTTCTTCACCCAGAGGGTTGTTAATCTATGGAATTCCTTGCCCAGTGAAGTAGTTGACGCTACTTCAGTAAATGTTTTTAAAAAAAAGTAGATTTTTTTTGAACAATAAAGGAATTAAGGGATACGGTGAGAACGCGGGTAAGTGGATCTGAGTCGACGAAAGGATCAGCCATGATCTTATTGAATGGCGGAGCAGGCTCGAAGGGCCAGACGGCCTACTCCTGCTCCTAGTTCTTGTGTTCTTGTGTACCCTTAACAAAAATACTCTTCTGCATTCCATCATTCTTTTATAAAAAAGTTAATGAGCAACCATAAGGATACTCAACCATTACAATATAAAAGATGCAGAGACAGGCTATTTGGCTCTTCAAGTCTGTTTCCACCTTTTATCTGACCTCTGAACAAATATTGTGTCTTCGCAAGGCTCGAAAATTACATGGCAAAACAGAAACAGGAACCTCAAACAATTATTACCACCAAGAAAAAGTATGGAGCAAACTAATGGGCTTTTATAGGCTGACCAGTCCCCAGGACCAGATGGCTTGCATACAGGGGGTTTAAACTTCATTGCTGTAGAATAGTAGCTGAATTGATTGCAAACCTCAGATTTTGTTTTTATGAAATACAAGAGTTTTCCAGATTTCCAAATTCACTGACACAAATAGAACTACTTGTTTCAGTAACCACAATGTAAATTTTATTCATCAGCTTTGTATCTCAAACGGACTAGTTAACATTTTAAAGACTAAAAGAAAATGGAGGATCGTTTTTCAAGGACCGCAACTTCCCCCCCTCGGTGGTCGAGAACACCCTCGACCGTGTCTCCTGCATTTCCCGCAACTCATCCCTCACACCCCCTCCCCGCAATAACAACCAAAACAGAATCCCCGTCATCCTCATGTACCACCCCACCAACCTCCGGATCCAACGCATCATCCTCCGACATTTCCACCATCTGCAATCCGACCCCACCACCAAAGACATCTTTCCCTCCCCACCCTTATCTGCTTTCCGGAGGGACCACTCTCTCCGCGACTCCCTTGTCTGCTCCACACTTCCCTCCAGCCCCACCACACCCGGCACTTTTCCCTGCAACCGCAGGAAGGGCTACACCTGCCCCTACCCCCCCCCCCCCCCCCCCCACCCCAGGCCCCAAGAAGACTTTCCACATCAAACAGATGTTTACCTGCACATCTGCTAATGTGGTATACTGTATCCACTGTTCCAGATGTGGCCTCCTCTACATCGGGGAAACCAAGCGGAGGCTTGGGGACTGCTTTGCGGAACACCTACACTGGGTTCGCACTAAACAACTGCACCTCCCAGTCACGAATCATTTCAACTCCCCCTCCCACTCCTTGGATGACATGTCCATCCTGGGCCTCCTGCAGTGCCACAACGATGCTACCCAAAGGTTGCAGGAACAACAACTCATATTCCGCTTGCGATCCCTGCAGCCCAATGGTGTCAATGTGGACTTCTCAAGATTCAAAATCTCCCCTCCCCCGACCACAACCCAAAACCAGTCCAGCTCGTCCCTGCCTCCCTAACCTGTTCTTCCTCCCACCTATCCCCTCCTCCCACCTCAAGCCCCAGCCCCATCTCCTACCTACTAACCTCATCCCGCCTCCTTGACCTGTCCGTCCTCCCTGGACCGACCTATCCCCTCCCTAACTCCCCACCGACACTCACCTTTACTGGCTCCAACTCCGCTTCCTTGACCTGTCCGTCTCCTCTCCACCTATCTCCTCCTTTATCCATCTTCTATCCGCCTCCCCCTCTCTCCATATTTATTTCAGAATCCCCTTCCCCTCCCCCATTTCTGAAGAAGGGTCTAGGCCCGAAACGTCAGCCTCTCTGCTCCTCTGATGCTGCTTGGCCTGCTGTGTTCATCCAGCTCTACACCTTGTTATCTCAGATTCTCCAGCATCTGCAGTTCCTACTATCTCTGGAGGATTGTTGACTTGCTTTGGGGAATACATGCTTGTAATGCACTTATGCCTACAGGCTGATATTTTTAAACAAACCAGTCCAGCAATTCAAGTTTGTTCTAAGTAACCATTGAAAAACGTGGTGATGCATTACCTTTTTTTTTAAACCGCCGTATAGGTATGTCACAATACTGTTGGGATGATGCTTAATTTTGACCCAGAAATTTTTCACTCACCCACCACAAAAAGAATATAATTACAGTTGCATTGATCACTTAAAAAGAAATTTTACTTGGCCATTTGCCACTGTGCTGGTTTTCAATCTGCCCTTAACTCACCCACTGATTGTCTCAATTTGAGAAATCTGAGAGCAAATAAGTACCTCCAATCAGAGCACTTCAAAAGTAATTAATCACATGGATATGTCTTGTAGCTGCTTGCGAGATGCAGCAAGGTGAGAAGGCAATGGATGTTAAAGAATTTACATCGAGGTACTGATGTGCTCTTGTAAAAAAAAACTTGTTCAAATTTTCACATATTTGTCACAAAAGTTCAAGAAAAAAATTGTATGCTCTTACATGTTGCTGTATCTAGAATTAAATGCTGTTAACATTTATTGTTCAAACTAAATTACAGTTTTCCCCCGCCCATCCCTCAAAACAAAAAGGAAACACCGAAGAACCACGTGCATCCTATTCCTGGACTTCAGCACATCTTGATATCCTGGTGCAGTGCTGAAGGAATGCTGTTTGGTCTTTCAATGATGATGCTCAACCAAGACCCAACCTAGTGTTTCAGGTGGACACAAGAGATCCCAGGACATTATTTGAAAAGTAGGTGAGTATTCCCAGTCAAGATTTATCCTTTAACAGTCATTTATCAAATTGCTGTTTGTGAGACCTCACTGAATATGTAAATTAGCCACTGCTTCTCCTTGTACCACAGCTCTAGTTGGCTCCAAAGCTATAAGACAAGATGCAAGTTCCTTAATATTAAATGTACCACAGACTAATGTTTGCTTTTAAAATAAAGACAAGAATAATTTTAATCAGGATTTTTTTTTATTGTGACTACATGACCCAATTATGTGAGTTACAGAATATCCAGGAATTCTTGTATCAAATTCTAGCAATTAAAAAATCCCAGTTCGACAAAAATATTGCAGCGCCATTCAAGCTACGAATGAGGGCTTTATGAAGGGTCCAGGTCCTTTCTTTTGTGTTACAGAAAATAAAATGGAAATCTTTCCATTTCGTGTGTGTAATGTTCCACTATTTATGTGACTTTATTCTCCCCAAGAAAACATTTGCCAACCATCTGGCCCAGAAATAAAGACTTTATTCTCTGAAGCCGAGACTTGGTCCCAGCCACCTGTGAGGAGTTACCACAGCAGCGATGGGAGTGCTACAATTGGTCAATGCCCCTACGAAAGGGAAGAAAATAAATTTAAACCACCTCGATTTCATGCACTTGGACAACACGCAGCTGCCCATCCTCCCCCTCCCCACTGAAAATCTACTTGAGCAGGAGCCAGGCGAGAGCAGGATAGAACTCTCTGTGACGCCCACAGTCAGAAAGCCTCTCTGCGATCATAAAAGCATGCACCAAAACAAACACTTGGAAAAGTCACCCAACTGTTGTAGTTAGTGTTCCGACATCCAGTTACTCAGCATTTCACCAGCGGGTGCTCATTCAATATATTTGGGCATATGAATACAAGCATTTGGCAATTGTGCTTGATATATACAGGAGCAGTCGGGGGAGGAGGAGAATAAAAATGAAGCAGGTCAGTGGTAAAATACATTCATTAACGTGGTACAGAGCCACACAGGTTTCGGAGTTTGATTGCTTTAATTGAGACTGGCGAGGGGGAGTAGGGGGTGCCACATGACCTGTGGCGCTTTCTGTGATTTTGCCATAATTATTTCCATCAATTGTTGTTAGCACACAAGTGTTGGAGGACACAACCATCAGGCCTGTGATGCCTCCCATGGTTGTATTGCTCACAGATGTTCCAGTCCTCGCCATCGCACCACTGGGAGCGAAAAGCATTTTATTTAAACTGAAACAGTCTCTTTGGCATCAATACATAAATGAGGTGGATGAAACTGTGGAGGACATGCAGACTACAAATATAACAGAATTCAAATTAATACAAAAATGGTGCAAGCTGTTTTTTCTATAGCCATTGATAAATCAGGCAATAATGTTTCCCCTTGTCTGCATAAATGGAAAGGTTACGTTGCATATCCGAGAGGAAGATTACAGTGAAGCAGGACTGCAGCCTCATTGAAGAGTTTCGCAGGTCCCAGGGAGTGTGCGAGAGGAAATCAAAATACTGTGGGCTGCTTAAGATAGTACTTGGCACTTTTCTGTAATTAAACTTTTCTTTTCTGTACAAACCTAACTGAAAACATTCCACTGCATCAGACACTGTGCAAACCAGCTGTAGCAACCTAGTGCAAGAAGGGATGGGTGTACAAAAGGGGACATTAACAAGTCCCATAAGCTATCTCCAGAGCTACATGATTTGCAGAACAGATTTGCAACCAGGGAGCAGATTCAGGCAAATTTGTCTGTTTGTTAGTTGTGTGTAGTTGCTTCTAACACTGCAGCACTGATGTCCCTCCAACACTCACTTTTACAGGGTAGGATGAGGTGGTGGATCCCAAGATTGCAAAACTATATTTCCAATACATCACTGGGACAGGATGTTGCGTTCGAGTTGTCTGCTGAGCTGCGCTAATAAAATGTTAAAAAAGGCATTGCTGTCTGTCAGAGGTAATACAAAAATCTTGTTGCAATTTGACAATCAATGGGGAAAAAACATTCAAAATTACACACTGACTGGTCAGTTTGTCATTTCAAGCCAGACAAATGCCACATGCTAAACAAACTCTGGCTAAAAAAAAATCTGAAAATGCAGCAAAACAAAATCGAACTTGCTCCAGGATTGGGCAATGTCTTTTTTTTTTGTGTGGGGGGTGCACGGGGGTTTGAGGATAAAAAAAGTGTCTCAGAATTGAGAGTTCAACACCGACCAAAAATTGTCGCTTGAACCCACTCAATCTTTGACCCATGTTAGAAGCATCAGGCGAAAATCAGCTTAAGAGCCTGAGCTGGGCAGGCACTCCCGATTTCTAGTGTCGGAAAATTTCAAAAGAACAAGATAGGGGCTTAGCTGTGATCAGTGGTGCCCTCAAATATAGTCACCATCTCAGTTCACACAGATGGCCACTTTGAGTTTGCAAAGGAAATTGATGGTGAAGAGAATGTTGTTGGGAAACAAGGATACAGATTTGCAGATACTAACCAAAGAAAGCCTCGATTATTTCCCGCTGAGCATTCTCTAAATCCACTCTCGCTGTCTGGGACAGCAAGTTTCCACATTTGAAGAGCAAAGCCTTATTAAAAAGCAAAGCAAAAGTCACCCCTCATACATTTGCGTTAACTTGGAACTGTGTAGTGTTTCCCACTTTTAACCTTGGTTAATGCACACTGTCATGTCACCGAACAAAGTTACCCATATTTTTCTCCACTGCTAGACAACAAAACCCTTTAAAAATCCATGCCAGATCGTGGCTGCTGGACAAATTGCTAAATTCAAGCAAATTACATGGTCACTGGGTTGATTCTTCAGGTAATACCCTTCAGAGAGAGAAAAAAAGAAAACTCATTTGTACCTTTCCCATCCATTTGACGTAACTTAGTTAACCAGTATACCCGCCTTGCTCCATGATCTGTTCCCTAGCCGTCTACATCTCGCATTAAAAAGTGCTGTAGTGTGGCGATTAGCTGCTCGGACTTTTCTGTGGCGGCAGTCTGGCTCTTGCTAATTATGTCGTGGAGAATAAGCGGGATGGGCCTTCCAAGTTCAATGTAGAACTTTTCTGGGTCTTTATTTTTCCTGTAAATCTCCCCACCGCAGTGCAATGCAACCAGGGACCCCTCAGAGTTAAATATCGGGGAGCCTGCAGCACCGTAGTGGAACTCCGTTTTGTAAGTGATTACATTGGAGTATTTCAGTCTATTGAAAGCTTGACTTGCAATCAAGACCGTCTCGTGCGTGTAATCCTCAGCTTCTTCTCTGGCAACCCCAGCTCTCAAGTTTTCCAGATCTGGCGTCGTGTAACCAGATGCCTTCGGGTACCCGGTCACAACCACACAAGGGCAGATTTTCTTTTTGTCTCCTTCAGGGTGCCCAGTAATATACAGGGTCCCAGTCTGAGGTGGGCTGGCCCAGAGCTGCAGCAGGCCCGGGGCTCCGGGGCTGCTCTCGAGCTCCAGGACAGCGTAGTCAAGTGCCTGGTCGTAAATCTCAAGCCAGGCTGCCAGTTTCAGCGGCTGACCTTTCCTGCCATCCTCCTCGTAGCCAAAGAAGACCTCGGTGCAGTCGCGGACCAGGGTGGGCCAGGTGCCCGGCGCAGCGCCCTCCGTCATCATTTCCACCACATGGTAGCAGGTGAGGAGGTACCTCTCACCCAGGACGAAGCAGGTGCCACTGCCCAGAGCGGCCGAGTTCTTCCAGGTGACACAGCCCACGCTGGAGAGGCGGCTCGAGATGCAGCGGAAAGCCCTGGCGGGCACCGGCGCCAGGGCCTCCTGGTGGTGGCGGTTCAGGTACTGTCGCTCCGAGACGTTGGCCAGCTCGGCATTCCTGGACACCAACTGCTTTAACCTGGAGAGAGAGGCTCGGCGGGCTTCCAGGTGCCACCTTGGCAGCAGGCAGCGAGCCCCCTCATGACCCCGGCTCTCCAGCTCCTTCCTGGCCAGCCGCGCGGCCGACTCGCCGGCTCTGGGCTTCGGGCTTTTGCCGCCATCATCGGTAGTGGCCTTCCTCCTGGGGCCGCTCAGCTCGACCTGGAAGCTGCGGCCGTGCAGCCCATCCACCATGTTGTTGAACTGGATCTTCCTCGGCGGGTCCACCTTCTCCAGCAGCTTGTGGCTGTCGTCCTCTACCTTGGCGTCGAAGCGGCCGTCGTTGGCCAGCGCTTCCCGGATGGTCTCCCCCTGGAAGCCCAGGACGCAGAGCTTGGTCTGCCCCTGGGCGATCCGGTCGGCCAGGACGATCCTCTGGGCGTTGTTGCCCGCGGTCCTGCCACTTGGCTCCACGTAGAAGAGGACGTGGCTCTCGCCGCGCGGGCACTCAGGGGGCAGAGGGCGCTCGGACCCAACGCCGCTGCCCTCCCGGCTCTGGGTCCGCAGGAAGAGCAGCCGGAAGTGGGAATGCTGTGGCAGGTAACGGCACCGGATGTCCAGGTTCACCAACCCTCTCAGTGGGCCCTCCCCGTAGGCCAGGATCGTGTTGTCACTTTTCACCTTCTCTTCAAAGTCACAGGATGTGTTCAACGCAGAGAGCAAAGTGTAGCTAGGATCCGCAGTAAATGCATACTGGATATTATCTGGGTCCCCGCTCATGCTAAAAGTGAACTCTTTCTTCTGAAAGCTTTGAACCGCACACTTCCTGTTTCCATACTTGTTCTTCGGACTTCTCCCATTCTTTGGGCTAAACTCCTCAGCATAACTGCCTGGTTGCAGTTTGCTTTCTTCCCATGAGTTATAGTCATCCAACCGTTTGCTTCGGGCATCTTTCATCTGTAGAGACAGGAATTTTTTTTTTTAATCACTTTGGATGCGTTTACACTATTTCTCCTCTCTTCAACTCACCCAAGTTATGGTTCACCTGGCATTTACCAATTTACTATTTCCCAAGTGACTGTTCTTAACCTACAAGCCTCAACCCTAGCGTGTCACAAAGCGTTACAAACCAACACCATTCTCTTCACCCAAGGTGCATATACTGTCCATTCGATAGTAATGCACATCAAATATGTAGAGAGACCTCAGATATATTTGAGAAAAATAGGGTTGCAAAAGTAGGGGATTTAAATTTTCCAAATGTTGACCGGGTCTGCCATAGTGTTGAAGGTTTGGATGGTGAGGAACATGTTAAATGTGTTCAAGAAAATTTTCTTCATCAGTACGTAAATGTTCCTGGAAGAGGCGTAAAACTTGACCTTCTCTTGGAGTTAGGCAGGGCAAATGATTGAAATGTTAAGAGGGGAACACTTTGGGACCAGTGATCATAATTCTATTAATTTTAAAATAGTTATGGAAAATGATAAGCCTTCCATAAAAGTTGAAGTTCTTACTTGGAGGAAGGCAAATTTTATTGGTATGAGACAAGAACTTTCAAAAGTTGATTGGAGTACACTTTTCTCTGGTAAAGGCATGACCGACAAGCCCTCAAAAGTATGATAACGAGAGTTCAGAGGCATTATGTTCCTGTTAGAAGGGCAAGGCTGGTAAGATTAGGGAACAATGAATGGATAAAGATATTGAGGTTCTAGTCAAAAATAAAAAAGAATCATATATTAGATATATGACAACTGGGATCAACTGAATCTCTTGAAGAGTATAAGAGTGTAGGGGCATTCTTAAGAGGGAAATCAGGATGGCAAAGAGAGGATATAAGATAGCCTTGGCAGATAAGGTTAAGGATAATCCAAAGAAATTCTACAAGTACATTAAGAGCAAAAGAACAACTAGAGAGACAGTAGGTGATAGTAAGAACTGCCGATGCTGGAGTCTGAGATAACACAGTGTGGAGCTGGAGGAACACAGCTGAAGAAGGGTCCCGACCCGAAACATCAGCTTTCCTGCTCCTCTGATACTGCCTGGCCTGCTGTCTTCCTCCAGCTTCACACTGTGTTATCAGAGAGAGAGTAGGGCCCTTAAAAATCAATGAGGTTATCTATGTGTTGAACCTCAGGAGATGGGAGAGATATTAAGTGAATTTCACATCAGTTCTTACAGTGGAGAAAAAACAAGGAAGGCTAGCAAACTCAGGGAAGTTAACATTAATGTTTTGAAAATAGTTCACATTACTGGAGACGAGGTGCTGGAGGTCTTAGAAAACAAAGGTGGTTAAATCTCCGGGACCTGATCTGGTGTATCCCAAGGCGTGGTGGGAAATTATGGAGGAAATTGCAGGGCCCCTAGCATAAATGTTTATACCATATATAACCACAGGTGAATTACTGAATGACTGGAAAGTGGTTAATGTTGTACCTTTATCTAAGAAAGGCTGTAAGGAGAAGCCTGGGAACTATAGACTTGTCAATCTGACATCGGTGGTGAGTAAGTTATTGGAGGAGATTCTGAAAGATAGGATTTATACGCGTTTGGAGAGGCAGGGAATGATTAGGAATAGTCAGCATGGCTTTTTGAGACGGAAATTGTGTCTCACAAACTCGATTGAGTTTTTTGAGAAAGTGGCTAACAAGATCGATGAGGGCAGATTGGCAGATGTTGTTAACTTGGACTTTAGTAAAGCCTTTGGTAAGGTTCCATATGGTGGACTAATTAGTAAAGGTAGATCACAGGGGATTCAGGGCGAGCTTGCCAATTGGATACAAAATTGGCTTAATGGTAGGAGACAGAGGGTGGTGGTAGGGGTTGTTTTTTGGACTGGAGGCCTGTGACCAGTGGTGTTCTACAGGGATTGGTGCTGGGTCCTCTTTTGTTCATCATTTATATAAATGATTTGAGAATATAGGTGGCACAGTTAGTAAGTTTGTGGATGACACCAAAATTCGTGGTATAGTGGACAGTAAAGGTTATCTAAGATTACAGAGAGATCTTGGTCAATTGGGTCAATGGGCTGAGGAGTGGCAGATATCAAGGTGGTGCATTTTGGTAAAACAAATAAGGGCAGGACTTATATAATTAATTGTACGGCTCTGGGTAGGTTATAGAACAGAAAGCTAGGTGTTCAGGCACATAATTCTTTGTCCACATGTGACGCAAATTTCAACGTGGTTAAGAAAGCATTTAGCATGCCTGCCTTAATTGTTGAGAACTTTGAGCATAGGAGTTGGGGACAAGAAGTTGATGTTGTACATGTGTGTAGTTCTGGTCGCCCTGTTGCAGGAAGGATATTATTAAACCGGTGACGCTTCAGAAAAGGTTTATCAGGGTATTGTCAGGATTGGAGGATTTGAGTTATAAGGAGAGGCTGGATAGGCTGGGACATTATTTCCACTGGAGCGTAGGAGGTTCAGGAGTGACCTTGTAGAGGTTTATAAAATCATGAGAGGCACAGATAAGGTGAATAGCACAGACTGTTTCCCTACGGTGGGGGAAGTTCAAAACTAGGGAGTATATTTTTAAGGAAAAGGATTTAAAAAGACTGGGAGGGGCAACTTTTTTTTAAACAGAAGTGATACCTGTATAGAATGAACTGCCAGAGGAAGTGGTGGATGCAGGTACAGTTACAACAGTTAAAAGACATTTGGTTAAGTACATGAATAGGAAAGGTTTGGAGGAATATGGGCCAAATGCAGGCAGGTGGGACTAGTTTAGTCTGGGAACATGGTTGGCGTGGACTCGTTGGACTGAATGGTCTGTTTCAATGCTGTATGACTCTTATGACTAAGACTGGTAGCTGATTCACCCCTCACTGGACAGGGTCAGTTGTGATATTTGTATTCCCAAGATTAACAAACTCAGTTACAATTGAAGAACTAAGACTTTGACCATCTCTTTTCCTGAATATGTAATTTCATAAGGGCAAAACTACCAACTATCAGTTGACAGCGGAGACACCCACATCCAAAATCTCTGCCTCTACTGTTTTCTCATGCCTTGTCACTATTGGCAGCAACAGGCAGGTGTTTGCGAGCACCATACGGGACAGCTGCTTGAAAGCCTAGTGAGATGTTGTGCCGTGACTTTCTTTCCCAAATCTCCCCCTAAACTCTACATGCTGTGTTTCCGTTCTAGTCCAAATAGACACATCCCTTAAATTTCTACCCCCACAGCATCTCCACCCGCTACCTCCGTCACAATTAGAGATCACCGGAGCATCAACGATAAGAACCTGCACCAATCCTCAAGTTAACACAATGCAGAGGGCCTCCAGTTTGGGCCCCCAGGGCCAATTTGGAACCAAAACAAAGCCACAACCATAAACTGGGATTTATAATATTCCACACTCATTCTTTCTAGAGTTGTACCTGATATTCCTGGTTATTGTTTTCAGCACCAGACAAAGCAATCCGAACCAGGCAATCGGTCTCTGGAAGAAATGAGAATGTAATGTATTTGAGACAGTGAAGAAAAGCTGCACGCACTCGACGCAGAATAGAAAAGACTGGACATGGACAGTTGGTCAAGAAATAACTAACTTTAGCATCACCCTACTCCTGAAGGCACTAACCCAGAAATTAGCATTCAACTGTCAAAAAGTACAGTCTGTACCCCCTCTGAAAACACCCGAGAGGTCATCAGATCCAAGAGTCTTAAACTGGGTATTGATGGAAGAGTCAGCAGTCCAATCTAGTCTTGTTCCTGTTCTGGGTCACTGGTTATGGCTTAAGGCTGCAAATCCTGAACAGTTGCTCCCTCTCTAGTCTCGAAGCGATGAAGCCTGAAATCCTGACCACAAGTTCCAACCGTGGAATGACAGAGAGAGAAAAAAGTGTCACTGACATTTCACTGCTGAAACAAAAACGTTGCTAAGGCTTGCCATGGCAACACCAGTCAGGTCAGTCACCCAAGCTTGGCCACAGTTACCCGGCCAACCAAGCCACACCCTTTTCTCATGCAGTGTAAATTGCTGCTCCCTTTTCCAATTTCTGCTCCTGTATCTATCCTGGTGAGTGCGAGACAAAAGTCTTTTCTCTAAGCGTCTCTCTTATGCAATCTGGAGACATGGTCTGTAATGTACATGATCAGCTGTTTTGCAGGTGGTAACAAGCTCACGGGTCAGAAGTTAAGGGGTTCATTTCCACTTCACTTTATCAGCCCTCAATCTAGTTAACTTATCAGGTGCTACCTTCTTATTGATACTAATTTCTTCCAGTTCCTCATTTTCACAAGTTCATCAGTTGCCCAGTATTTCAGATTTTCTGTACCTTCTTCTGACAAGACAGATATGAAACTGTTTAATTTCTCCATTTCCCTGTTCCCCACCTCTAACGGTCCCATATTTGTCCGTGCTGATCTTTTACTTTATAAATACTGTAAGAACTTTGATACCGCACTTTTATAGAATCGTAGAATCCCTACAGTATGGAAACAGGCCCTTCAGCCCAACAAGTCCACACCGACCCTCAGAGCACCCACCCAGACCTACCCATCCATCAACACTACTGGCAATTTAGCATGGCCAATCCACCAAGCCTGCACATCTTTGGACTGTGGGAGGAAACCGGAGCACCCAAAGGAAACCCACGCAGACACGGGGAGAATGTGCAAACTCCACACAGATAGTCGCCCGAGGGTGGAATTGAACCAGGGTCGCTAGCACTATGTGGCAGCAGTGCTAACCACTGTGCCACTCCTCATGCTCCTCACTAGTTTACATTGAGAGTTATACAGTACGGAAACAGACTCTTCAGTCCAACCAGTCGATGCTGAACATAATCCCAAACTAAACTAGTCCCACCTGCCTGCTCCCAGCCCAAATCGCTCCAAACCTTTCCTTTTCATGTACTTTTCTAAATGTCTTTTAAATGTCCTTTAAGTTAACTGTACCTGCATCCACCACTTCCTCTGGAAGTCCATTCTGCACATGAACCATCCTGTGTAAAAAATTTACTAATATCTTTTATAAATCTCTCTCCTCTCACCTTAAAAATGTGCCCCGTTGTCTTGAAATCCCCCATCCTAGGGAAAAGACAACCACCATTAACTCTATCTATACCCTTCATTGTATTATTATAATATAATTATAAACTTCTATAAAGGTCGCCTCTCAACATCCTATACTTCAATGAGAAAAGTCCCAAGCCATCCAGCCTTTGTTTATAACTCAAAGCTTCCATACTCAGCAACATCCTGGTAAATCTCTGCTGAACCCTCTCCAGCCTAATAATATCCTTCCTATAACCTGGCAACTGGAACTCTCATTCTCTTATCTCTGTCCAATTCAGTTTCTTGGCTCTCCATTGTGGGGTTCTAAATTTCACTCAGTCCTCCGGCTCAACACTTTTTCTTGCATCCTGAAAAGCCACTTTCTTTGACAGAATCTAGTCTTTAATTTCTTTTGATAACTATAATTGACTGAGCTTTCCCTTGGGTGTTTGCCCTTACTGGAATCTACAACATGGTTGTAGACCATGTAATATAGTCTTTTTAATGAGTAGTCAATGCCTGTCTAATATCAAATCTTTGCGCACTTTCCCAATCCGCTTTGTGCTTCCAGTACCTATAATTTCCTTTCTTCAGACTTAAGGCCTTAGTTTCATAATGAACTATGCCACATTCAAACCTAATAAGAAATTCTATTTGTGGTCACAAAAGATTCTTTTACAGCAACTTATTAATTAGCCTTCTCTCATCACACAACAAAACAGACTGATCCATAGCTCGATCTTCAATGTACTACACAAGAACCATATCTTATACTCATTCCCTTCTTTGCTACCCCATCTCCTTTTCCTTTTTGCCAATCCCTCCCACATGGTGACCATTCTTCCTCCTGTAAAGCAGAGCCACCGGTAGGCTCTGACTGAGGGATTAATGCCATCACCAAATCGATTAGGATGCGGGACTTACTGGCATTCCTGCACGAGCAGCTTGGTTCTCTCGGGTTGCCTGGCAGTCACACATTCCCTTTCTGCCTCCATGCTCCTAGCCTGCCGTGTGACCGCCTCTCTGAACCTGCGGCCCACATAGCTCTCGGCCACGCAAACCGTCAGTGATTCCAGTAATTGCTGGAGCTCCGAGCCCGGAACTCAAGTTTCTGTGGCTGGTGACACTCTTCCCACCTACTATAGCACACTCCTTTCATCAAGTGACCAAGCTGCCCTGCCACCTCTTCAAGTTACTTTAAGCAAAGTCAAGATATCTTAGCCATTAATAAACCTTGCCATTACTGATAAATTCAATTAATTAGATGCAAGAAAACTGAAAGTACCTCTGTCGCCTGTGCACCAAATTCACGCACAACTCTAATTCTGTACTCACTTGGTCTATGTCTCCCACCAGTTTCTAAACTAGTGAGACTATCTCCCTAGAAACAAGACCAGCTGTCAGGAAATGCTGAGCTCACACCTGTACTTCAGTTCTGATCCAGGTCCCCATTCCTTTCCCTCCACCCTACCCCTCCCCACCCCATCACTCCCATTCCACTCCAACAAGTTATTGTCTCTGTTCATCTCCTACCTTGCTTTATGCTCCTTTGGAGAGAATTTCCATTCTTCCTGGGGCCGGCTGCGTCCTGAGGCTGTGTAAAACAAGGATTCACTGTGTGTTACTCAAGCAGGGAATCACTCCAACCCACAATCAAAATCCGCTGCAAAAACCTTGTCCAAAGCTCTGAGCGCCCAGGTTAGAAATTTTGCCACAACATTCCAGACCTTGGGCTTTCAGTCATCAACCTTTGTCAGTCCGAGCCCCTTCTGTCATTAGCAATCAGTCACTAACGAGTATGATTGTTCACCTATCCATTGGTCATGGGTTCTGAGAGTCCTTCTGCGGCTGATCAGCCCAATCCTGCAGCAACGTCTCCAACCAGGAAGTGGAATTGGTCCTCTGTCTCGAGATCATCGGCGTTCCTTTCTCCGGTTGCTGTTCTGTATTTCCTCTTTCCCACTGGCTGTTCTCAAAGAATCGTGGATCAAGGGTCTCCCACGCATTGACATCTACGTTGCATTTCTTCAGCAAAGCCTTTAGGGCAGGTATGAAACACTTCCTTCATCCTCCTCTCGTTCGAATACCTTCCTCGGGGTGCGCGAGGATGGTTCACTTTGGTAGTCGGAACTCGGGCATCCTAAAGTACGTGGCTGGTCCAGCAGAGTCGGTTTGAGACGATCATGCCCTTGATGCTGGTGCGTCAGCTGCTTCAAGCACTCTGATACAGAGGATCCAGCTCAAACATCTAGTATCTTGTGGTGGCATCTATACGCAGTCCAGGTTTCAGAGCCACACAGAAGGATGACTGTGTTACAACAAGGATCTTGGTATCAGTGCGGCTTTCACGGTTGAAAACTCTCATGTTTGGGCAGCGGTGCTCATGGATTAGATACGGTGTTGGATTGCTGCATCGCTGTCAGTGCTAGCTGAGTGGAAGTTTTTCAGGTACAGGAGGATTTCGAAGGCCTTACCCATTGATCTTAATGGAGGGATGGACTGGAATTTGACCTGGGGCCGGATGAAGGATTTGAGTCTGAGGCTAATTCTTTTCTTTGCTGCTGGTAAGGCAATGAGCGAGGCTTGAAGATTCCCTTGAGACAGCAGCAGAGATGACATCCACATACTCAAGTTCCATAGCGAGGTCAGTGTCAGTTTCTTCTTGGATTTCACCTGGTTGAAGTTGAAAGGTTTTTGGTCCATCCTGAAGACAATGTGCACACTGCCGGGAAGCTTGTTCTTGGCAAGAAGAAGAATAGTAACGAAGAAGATGGAGAAAAGGATGGGGCCTTTTATTCATTGACCTACATCAGTCTGTGAGCCCCTTCCAAGCAAATGTATTCAAACTTCTGTAACTTTTAAAACAAAAAATTGAAGAAGTGAACCAATTTTTAGGAAGAGTATTTAAAAGGTGACGTGGAGAGTCGAACAGTAAGATTTGAGCCAAGATTCCGTCCTTGCTACTCCCACTCCCTCCAATACACGAGCCTTCTTATGGGGCACCATGGAGCCGCACGGTAGCTCAGTGGTTAGCACTGATGCCTCAGCTCCAGGGACCTGGGTTCAATTCCAGCCTCAGGCGACTGTCTGTGTGGAGTTTGCACATTCTCCCCGTGTCTGCGTGGGTTTCGTCCCACTGTCCAAAGAGGTGCAGGTTATGTGGATTAGCCGTGGGAAATGCAGGTTACAGGGACTGGGTAGTGGGGCGAGTCTGTGTGTGATCCTCTTCAGAGAGTCAGTGTGGACATGTTGTGCTGAATGGCCTGTTGCGACAGTGGAGGGATTGTCCTGCAAGTACTTATTCTTGGTAAGCTATGGGCTCTAGGAGGCATAGCCCTTCAGTGACTCACTCAAGGAGAAGCAATACATGGCCCGCAAGAAGTGGCAGCCCGTTTTACGTGAAGCAACGTCCAGGGCACTGCGTTCTAAAACAAACCGCAATGTTTGCTTAAATTATACACCGCAAATGCCATGCCCGAGTACAGCGATTAAACTCAGCAAATTGTCAACTGCAACAAAACAAAAATTTTGAAAAACAACCCCAGTTGTGAGAAGTGCCCGCAAGATCAGGTCTGAAACTTTAGCTGAAAGTCACTCTCGTTTCCAGGCTGGTTTGCACACAAGACCATTTACAATTCTAAACACACGCACGTGCTCCTACAAGCCCCAGACTGAGCTAGCAAAAGGCAGGTTTCAGGTTGTCAGTATCCACTGGGCACAGTTCACAGCCTAATTACAGAATGCCAGCAGAAGGAAAGGGCTTCAGTAGCACATCACTACGCACATGTTCAACAGCCAGTCCTGTGGACAAGTTAGAGTTCAGCAAGAGAAGATGGGACTGTGGGAACACCGAGATACCCTCCTCAGACCAGTTAAATCAACTGGGAGGAGAAATTGGAGAGTTGGTGCTAAGTTTCTTCACACATTGACACTGGCCAGCACATTGATTTGTTTTGGTTTACTCAGGGGACATGGACTGTAACTGACTGGTTAACATTTTCCGCCATCGACGTGAGGATGGTGAACTGCTGCAGTCTGCTTGATGTAGGTAAACCCACATCGCCATTAGTAAGGGAGTTCCTTGACCCTGAAAACAGCCATATAGTTTCCAGTCAAGATGGTGAGTGGCTTAGAGGGGGCACCTGCATGCGGTGGTGTTATGTATATCCTGCCCTTAACCTTTGGTCAAGGTACTCGTGGAAGGTGCTGTTCAATTTCTGCAGTGCATTTTTTTTTAAATTATATATGCTGCTGCTGCTACCGAGCATTGGCAAACAGAGTGGATGCAGTGCCAATCAAGCAGGCTCCTGGATGGTGTCAAACTTCTCGAGTATTGTTGGAGCTGCACCTATCCAGGCAAGTGGGGAATATTCCATCACACTCCTGTGCCTTGTAGATAGTGGACAGGCTTCTGGAAGTCAGGAGGTGAGTTACTCATGGCAGAATTCCTAGCCTCTGACCTGCTCCTGTGGCCAGAGTATTTATAACGCTAGTCCAGTTCAGCTTCTGTTCAAGGCAATGACCCGTATGTTAATGGTGAGGGATTCAGCCATGATAATCTCATTGAAATGTCAAAGGGTGATGGTTAGACTCTGTCTTATTGTAGATTGGCATTGCCTGGTATTTGCACGGCACTAATGTTTCTTGCCACCACTTTAGCAATGACCAAGAGTAGGCTGACATGGTAGTAAATTGGCTTCGTAGGATTTGTGCTGCTGTGTGCATGCAGGACATACCTCTGCAATGCCCTGTGGCAACTCAGAACTTTCCCACTTCAAAAAATTTTCACAAAGACAAATTCACCAAAGAAAAGCCAACTTGGTGGAAAATCTAACGCAGTAGCGGTGATACCGAGGAAGGTCCTACTCACCCAGAACTTAACGTGTTTCGCTCAGAACATGGCAGTGCAGTTACATTAAACCACTACCTTGAACTGGTCTGTAGGGAGCTGGTATCATTGAGGTTTACTGGCCTCCTTCTGCACCATAAGTGACCCAACAACGTGCTCTGCTCACATTGCTAGGTGTCCTTTTTTAACTGAAAGTTACATTGTTACTCTTGTGAGATTGCCAGAAAGGGTTTTGCTTCTCCATTAATAAAATGAGCCACAGTTGGGCATGAACCAATCAAAATCCTATGCCGTGACAAATCAGTGTAGCAACATGAGTGAACAACAATGTAAAGCTCGAAACACCAAGAACCGCCTTGTGAGATCATTCCTTCCTTAATGAGCACTCCACTGGAGAATGTCTGAAAGATGATGTTTTGGACCGGAAGGAGGCAGTGGTTAACATCACTGGGCTAGTAATGCAGAGGGCCCTGGGCACTTGGGTCCGATCCTACCACAGTACCACTGGCCTCTGAAATGACGTTGGAAGCCACTCAGTTCAAGGGCAATCAGGAATGGATGGAAGACGTTGACCTTGCTTGTGATGCCTACATCCAGTGAAAGAGTAAAGCTCAAGAAGCAACCACTAAAAATTAAACGGTTTAGCACTGCACAAAGGGGACCCATTCGACCCAACCAGTACCACTCTAGAAGAATCCAATACTTGACCCATCAATCCCAATTACTTGCATTGCCCTTTCTTCTGAAGGCTTGGCTCACCTGCTTGCAGGAAAGCTGCAGTGATCTCTGCTTTCGCTGTCCCAGGTTCACAAGAACAAGAGACCACTGTTGACATTCAATTTAATTTGTGGATTATCTGCACTCTTAACACATTCCAACTTTCTTGAGATAACACAGTATGGAGCTGGAGAAGCACAGCGGGCCAGGCAGCATCAGAGAAGCAGTAAAGTTGACATTTCAGGTTGGGATCCTTCTTCAGAAACGTCAACTTTCCTGCTCCTTTGACGCTGCCTGGCCTGCTGTGTTCCTCCAGCTCCACACTATGTTATCTCTGACTCCAGCATCGGCAGTTCTTACTATCTGAGTGAGTTATAACCCAGCTTTCTTGAGTCTGGATTCCTTAATAATGTTGCCTCACAAAAATTATCCATCGGTTTCCATTGACTTTGCCAGCCTTAACTGCTTGCTTCTTGACCTCCACAGCCCTCTGCATGGGTCTCACCCACCTCCATGGTCCCCGTCAAACAACCCGACCAAAACTTTATGTCCAGCCACCCAAATTCATGCAGAGAGAGAGAGAGGAAGGTATTAAGACAATTAAGACTAAGGAGAATGTGGAATATTACTTTAACACCAATTGACATAGAAATGCCAGGACAGAAATGAAAATTTGTGGGACCAAAGTATAAATGGAAAAAGTTGTCAGATCAACATCAAAAACAGATGTGGGGACAGCGTAGCTTTCAGGGTTAATTCCAATAGGCTCCTCCCCAACCTTCATGGTTTTACGATAATTCCACTGTGTCCACTGAACAAGGTTGACAATTTTACAGCAAACTCCCTTGATTCAAGGGTTGGAAGGTTTTCAGGGGATTGAGGGAAAGAATCCCCGGACAACTAATCCACAACAAGCACAGAAGATCCACGAAGGACACACAGCAGTGGCATGGGACCCAGTGGGCAGCCATCTGAAGCTAGGAACCACCACCAGGATGGGTTCCTGACCTGGCACGGGGAGGGTCAACAAACCAAATGAGAGAAGACAATGAGAGAAGTACCGTGGGGGTCCTGCTGCCTTCATCGCTGGAGGAACTCATCCTACGGTCCTGGCTGTATCACGGTACTGAAAGGCAAACATGACAGAGAGTCTTCTTATCAAACCACCAGGAACCCTCGCACAAAGACAGGATCAACACCTCATAAAAACCACAACACAAATTTTTCTGCCGCCTCCACGCTTACTTCTTCAACCGTGAACCTAACCCTCCCTCTCCTGACCCCTTCTCCTGCCTCCAACACACCCCCTCCTCCTGGACACCACCCCAAGGCCTCCTACCCTCCCTCGACCTCTTCATCTCCAACTGCCATCGAGACATCAATCGCCTCAACCTCTCCACCCCTCTCACGCACTCCAACCTCTCCCCCGCAGAACGTGCAGCCCTCCGCTCTAATCCCAACCTCACCATAAAACCCGCGGACAAGGGAGGCGCAGTTGTAGTATGGCACACTGACCTCTACATTGCCCAGGCCAGACGCCAACTCTCCGACACCTCCTCCTACCGCCCCCTTGATCATGACCCCACCCCCGAGCACCAAACCATCCACAACCTCATCACCTCAGCTGACCTCCCACCCACGGCCTCCAACCTCATCGTTCCCCAACCCCGCACTGCCCGCTTCTATCTCCTTCCCAAAATCCACAAACCTGAATGCCCTGGTCAACCCATTGTCTCCGCCTGCTCCTGCCCCACCGAACTGATCTCCAACTATCTAGACTCCATTTTCTCCCCCTTGGTCCAGGAACTCCCTACCTACGTCCGTGACACCACCCACGCCCTCCACCTCCTCCAGAATTTCCAATTCCCCGGTCCCCAACACCTCATCTTTACCATGGACGTCCAGTCCCGATACACCTGCATTCCCCATACAGATGGCCTAAAGGCTCTCTGCTTCTTCCTGTCCCGCAGACCCGACCAGTCCCCCTCCAATAACACCCTCATCCGCTTGGCCCAACTCGTCCTCACCCTCAACAACTTCTCTTTCAATTCCTCCCACTTCCTACAGACAAAGGGGGTGGCCATGGGTACCCGCACGGGCCCAAGCTATGCCTGCCTCTTTGTAGGTTACGTGGAACAATCCCTCTTCCGTAGCTACACTGGCCCTAAACCCCACCTCGTCCTCCGTTACATTGATGACTGTATCGGCACCGCCTCGTGCTCCCACGAGGAGCTCGAACAGTTCATCCACTTCACCAACACCTTCCACCCCAACCTTAAGTTCACCTGAACCATCTCTAATACCTCTCTCCTCTTCCTGGACCTCTCCGTCTCCATCTCGGGCAACCACCGAGAAACCGATATCCATTTCAAGCCCACCGACTCCCACAGCGACCTACAGTACACCTCCTCCCACCCACCTGCCTGCAAAAATGCCATCCCCTATTCCCAATTCCTTCGCCTCCGCCGCATCTGCTCCCAGGATGAGGCATTCCACTCCAGTACATCTCAGATGTCCTCGTGTTTCAAGGACCGCAACTTCCCCCCCTCAGTGGTCGAGAACGCCCTCAACCGTGTCTCCCACATTTCCCGCAACTCATCCCTCACACCCCGTCCCCGCAGTAACAACCAAAAAACAATCCCCCTCGTCCTCACGTACCACCCCACCAACCTCCAGATCCAACGCATCATCCTCCAACACTTCCGCCATCTGCAATCCGACCCCACCACCAAAGACATCTTTCCCTCCCCACCCTTATCTGCTTTCCGGAGGGAC